TTCTATTCTTCTCAATATTAGCCATCATTTGTTATGATCTACAAAGTCAAATGCCTTGTACAGTCAATAAAACACAAGTAAACATCTTTCTGTATTCTCTGCTTTCAGTCAAGAGTCTTTTGACATAACAATGACATACACACACACACACACACCTCATACCATGGTCTCTTCTGACTCTAGCTTGGATTTCTGGAAATTCTCTGTCATTGTACTTTTCCAACCATTGTTTAATAATCTTCAGCAAGATTTTACATGCATTAGATTGATAATTTTAGCACTCTCTTCCCTCAATTTTTTAAAAATGTATCTCTTCTAGTCAGTTGGCTAGGTCTTTCGAGTTTCTTATAGCATAAGCTAGTAACCACATCAAGAGCTGCATCTGTGTGCTGAAACATCTCAACTGGTATTTAATCGATTCCTTGGTTCTTATCATTGATTCTTGATCATATGCTATTTCTTGTAATGTTTCCACGTCAATAAATTCTTTTTTTGGTATAGTGATTGTGTATCTATTCCATCTTCATTTGATGCTTCTTGTATCATTCAAAATTCTGCCCATATCTTCAGCATTGAAACTTGAAGTTTTAATTTGTTCTTCAGCGCTTTTATCTTGAGAAATAGCAAGCATCTTCTTTCCTCTTGGTTTTCTAATTCTAGCTCTTTGTACATTTCATAATATTTTGCTTTGTCTTTTCAAACTGCCCTTTGAAATTTTCTGTTCAATTTTTTTATAGTATTTTCCTTTTGTTTTGATGTTTTTTACATTCAATTTTAAATTTCTGAGACTCATCTGACACTACGTTATGGAGATGACACAACTCTGCTTGCTGAAACTACAGCAGACCCGAAGTGCTTGCTGCAGAAGGTCAAGGACTGTAGCCTTCAATATGGATTGAAACTCCACATCAAGAAGATAAATATTCTCACCACTGGGCCAACTGGCAGCACCATAATAGATGGAGAAGAGATTGAGATTGTTAACAGTTATAGCTTGCTGGGCTCCACAAACAACACCGTTAGCATCACTAGTCAGGAAATCAAGAGACAAATTGCATTAGGTAAATCAGCTGTCAGGGACCACTCCAGAGTCTTAAGAAGCAATGATGGCACTCTATAGATTTGAGTTGAGCCTGATCCAAGTCATGGTCTTCTCAATTACTTGCTATGCATCAGAGAGGTGCACAATGACTAAGGATGACAGAAGACTTGATGCCTTTGTGTTGTGGTGCTGGAGAAGAGTCTTAAACATACCATGGACTGCCAAGAAAACAAATAGGTCTGTCTTGGAGAGGGTGAAATAAGTATCTCCTTAGAGACTAGGATTTTGAAGCTCCATCTCACATACTCTGGGCATGTGACCAGGAGGGGCTGGTCCATGGAGAAGGACATCATGGTTGGAAAGGTGGAGGAATAGTCCAGAAGAGGAAGACCCCGGATGAGATGGATTGATACAGTAACTAGGGCACTGGCCAGAGTCAGTGAGACTGGCTCAGGACAGGGCAGGCTTCAGAGCTTTTATATATAGTGTTGCAGGTGACTTGACAGCACATAACAACAACTTTCTTTCTTACCTTTTTAATGACCTTTTGCTTCATCAAGGATGATGACCTTAATGTTATTTCACAACTCATCTTGTCTTCAGACCTTCTTGAGGTAGTTTTTAAATTCAGGTAAAACAGATGGCAGACCATATTTTGGTTTTCGTGGACTTTTTTTACTTTTTCTCAATTTCAATTTGAACTTGCATAGGAGTAATTAATGATCTGTTTGAAAGTCTGTGCCTGGCCTTGTTTAGACTGCTGACTCTGAACTTCTTCAACTTCTTCCACAGATGAAGTCAATCTGATTCTTGTGTAGCTTATCGGGTAAGAGCCATGTGTGTATATTTGGCATTTTTTTAAAGGCTTTTGGAGTGAATAAATCCATCAATTGTACAAAGTTCTATCATTTAGTCTCTGATTTTTATATACAGAAACAAGCTATCTTCTAAGAAACCAATAACTACAGATATAAGTTTTAAACTTCAAGAATATTTATTAATAATTGGCATATAATCATTACTGGTTTTGAATTTGAATTACTTGGTTTTAATTTCTTGTGTAGAAAATTGTAACTTCTAATACAACTACAAACTTATTGAAGAATTACGTATTTTTTTAGTCAAATCAAAACTAAAAACAAACCTTCAAACTCACAGCTGTGGGGTAGGAAATGACTCATAGCTGACCCTAGAGACTAGGCAACCAAAAGTTATTACACACAAGGGAATTTTAGAATAAATATATTAAACGAATGGATAAATATATTAAACAAATGAATCAGAATGAGGTGCATCTGATTCAGGCCATGGTCTTTCTGATCACTTGCTATGCATCTGAGAACTGGACAATGAATAAGAATGACAGAAGAAGAATTGATGCCTTTGAGCTATGGTGCTGTGTCCATACCATGGACAGCCAAAAGAAGAAATAAGTCTTGGAGAGTGTGAAGCCACAGTGCTTTGTAGGCAAACATGATAAAGCTTCATCTCACATACTTTGGGCATGTTACCAGAGGGGAGCTATTCCTTAGAGAGGTGCATGATGCTTGGAAAGGCAGAAAGTCAGCAAAAAAGAGGAAGAGCATCAATCAGCTGTATTGATACGGTGACTGCTGCCATGAACTTTAGTGTGTCAGGAAGTGTGAGGATGGCACAGGATAGGGTAGAGTTCAGATCTGTTGTTCACAGGGTCACTAAGGGTCATACTCAACTTGATGGCACCTAACAGCAACAACTCTAAGGTTTTATTTCATTTATCATATGGATAAAAACTAAATTCAAAAGGAACTTCAGGGTATGGACTAAAAGGCCTCTAAAGATATCTTCCAACTTCTCTATGACGAAGCTACTTTTAACACTGTGTGATAAAAGGAGAACTGGATTTAATACAATAATTGTGGGAAATCATTCCAGAGGAGGTTATTACATTTGTAATAATTATTCTGGTAGAGAATGAAATAAAACTAAGAAAAACACTGAAGAGGATTTTTGTTGTTATTCACTCACTCATCCACTGCTATCAAATCAGAACTTACTCACAGCTGACTCTACAGCAGGTTTTCAGAGGCAGTAAACTGAACAGGAGGAGACTGCTCATTTTTCTCCTGTGGAGCAGCTAGTGTAGTCAATCCTCCTGCTGCTAGGTTGGCAGCCCAACTCCTTACCTTCTAGCCCACCAGAGCTACCTATGATTATATTATGAGAATGCAAAATAACCACTATATGTAGTATAGGGAGCTCTAGTGGTGAGTTGTGCTGCCAACCCAAAGTCAAGTGGTTCAAATCCACCAGCTACTACATAAGAGAAAAATGGGCAATATCCTCTCATGTGATTTATAGCCTCTGAAAATCCACTAAAGGGTCAGCTATGAGTTGGTTTTGACTCAAGGATGAAGAACAACATATGTAGTGTGTGGTTTAGCATAAAGATTAATATCTGATCTTTAGCTGAAGAAAAACTCAAACTCATTGCCATCATGTAGAACCAACTGACAGCTGACTTTCATTCATTATCAAATCCACTGAAGGAGATCATCTATCTTTTTTCCCTTGACTAGTAGAGGCACTGGTGAATTTCAATCAACAGAAAGGTGCAGCATTTGAGTTAGTAGGGCAAGTCCTTACAGACTGCTCCACCAGAAATCCAGAAAAATGGTGGGTATAAAACAGCACTACCACTCCCTTGCTGTTTAACAAATTAATGGAACTCTGATGGCCTAGTGGTGAGGAACTATGCTGCCAGCCTTAAGGCATGAGGTTTGGATCTACTAGCTGCTTCATGACAGAAAGATGGGCACTCTCTTCCCTTAGGATTTACTGCCTCTGAAAACTCACTAGAGGGTGAGTTATAGTCAGTTCCATCTCAACTGTACATAACAACAACAACAACAATATAAGCCTGTCTCATCTGAAAACAATACTATACATTTCAAAGTCATGTAGCATACCTAGTATAGTACTATGTTGGTGCTGCTAATAAAAATAGTTTTATAATTATTGTGTTGCATTAGGATTCTGTCAGTAAAGATTCATAGGGTATTGGACTGCTAATCAAAAGGCTGATGGTTTATTCCCCCCAGCATTTCGTGGAGGAACAGTGAAGCAGTATCCTCCTAAAATGACCCATAGTCTCATATATCCAATAGGGGAATAACCAAAAATATCTCGAAATTTATTCCAAAGCAATGAGGTTTTGGTTTATTACATGCCCAAGTGGTGCTGGGAAAATATGAAAGACAGACTATAGATATTTCCTTTAAGTAGAAAACATACAGTCTAAAAAGTGTAATATTAACCAGTATAAAATATTTTAGTAGCATTTCACTTTTGAAAGAGTTTTAAGTTTTCTCTTGTCATTGAGATTGAACTTTTGAAAACATATACCCAGCCTTTATAGACATGCCACTACAAATGCGAATACCAGTAACATAACAGGTTTTAAATTAGAAAACACTAATGAGGCAAGGAAAGTCTAGGTTGAACTGCTGCTGGGAGATACCTATCAACCAGGAATCCATCTAAATCAGAGAATTCTTCTTGGCTCTAAGAGAGGCATCCACTTCCGTAATAGCTTGCCTCCAGAAACCCTATGAACCTGGAGAGAGGATGAAAGACACCCAAGCGTTGAGGACTCTCCTTCATAGAGTCGCTATGAGTCTCCTGCGACTTGACGGCACTTAACAACAACAAGAGTAAGATACAAGCACCACAGGATGCAAAAATGTGCCCTGACAAATCTATTCCTGTGATTATAACTTAGGGGGAAAAGTGGCAAAAACAAGACCTACAGAGTATATAGCTTTAGGAGGTCAAAGTACCCAAGTCAAAGAGTTCAAGACTTAAAACACAAGAGATTTTTATAAGAAAATGTAAGAGAATCAGTTAAAAATTAAATCCTTTATGTAATAGTAGAAACTATATAAACCTCAAATTAACAAAGAAAATTATTTGCATTTACCTGATTGTTTAGAATTTCTTTCTTTCCACTGAATATTTTTGCATTTGATCTGGTTTTGTCTCTCTTTTCGGAGTCGTTCTAATCTTTGAGCTTGAAAAAGAAATATTATAAGTTTGTCAATGAAAGTTTACTATAAACAAAGACATAATTAACTACCTTTTTATGAATAAAGATGTTTTATACTGCATATGTAAGAAAAAAGTCATAAAATTTTAAAGGCGGCACCCCTGAAAAGCAAATACCAACAAAAACATGAAAATAGTCTTGATTTATAATTGAAATTAGAGGATATAAAACATTAATAGAGATCATAAAGATAGTATTAACATGGAAGAGAATAATAAAATGTGAAAACTTCTGTGATTAATATGACATTTCATTATATAAATCATTAATAACGGTCTTAAAGGAATTTTAATGCACAAATGAACTGAAGTGAATATTACATTACAGGAATAAAATTACTGTTATGAATTACTCTACCCGTTTCAAAAATTAAAGATAAATGAACTCAGACTAGACTATTAAAGTTTTAAATATAAAATCCTTTATCTAAAAATCATGAAAATTATAAAATGTCAAAGCTATATAAATTAGCATAGCTTTTCTTCAGTGGGCTGAAACAGTTTATAGGTAGTAAAATAAATGATATGTATCTTTGTAACATTAGTCAAATCTTAAAAAGAACAATTTTTCTTTCACAAAATTTTAATATATGTTGAAAGGATTAAAAAGTAAATTCCTAAGCCACTACAATATCCTACTATTTGAATTAGTTATACATCAAAAGACTACCTACAGAAATTACAGCAAGAAGAGGGTCACCTAAAATTATTCTTTGTGACTGTAATACCACTGGCTGATAAATCGTCAAAAACCAATGAGATAATTCTTAAATAAAACAATGTCTGGCATACATTAACAATTGCTGAACATCAAAATCACAATAGAAAAGAAAGCCTCAATTGATGCTACCTTTTAAAATAAATTTTCTCTCACTTCATTTTCCTATTCTGGCACAATGCTTTTTAAAAGCATTGTGCATTAAAAGCATTTAAAATCAGAGGAAAAATAAAGTTCTAGGTTTTTCTTTCACCCATGTTCAAGGTAGGAAATCATATACTACTGCCTTAGCACTGTGGTATGGAAACACTAAAACTAACCCTGCTATGCTGGAAAAGGCATTCTGACAAAGTCATGACATCTAACCAAATTCCACTGAAAGAAAAGACATTCAATTCCAATTAATATAAGTGAAGGATACAGACAAAGTAATATAATCAGAAAGCACTCAATTTAGCAACATTCTCCTACTGAAATCCATTCAGCCTGTCATACAAGATATCATCTCAATAACTTGCAAGGAAGTCAGTTTCAACTAAAGAACTGAGAATCAATGGTTCTAAATTATATTCAAACCTTCACTCAAACCCCATTTTGAGAAGAGTTCCTTTAGAAACTGAGAAATGCTATTATTTTTAACATGAGAGCAAATTTTTCTTTGCTGATGTTAAAGGTGGCTGAAATCTGAATCAAACCTTAACATACCTTTCACTGTAAATCATATCTAGCTCTACCACCAATACCCCTTTTATACACATTTTACATATGGACCACACAAACATTCATGTATTTTCAGGGTTCTACCATATCTCCTGCCAATACCTTTTCTAGGGCTTAGCAGATTACTACTGTTTAGGAGGTTATATTTTCTGATTATCTAAAGAATAAATATAATTATCTCCTAAAATATTCTGCCATGCTAGAACAGTTACAATACATATTTTAAATAATTTATCTGTCTAAGTGCAGGCCTTGGTTCACCACATTCCTCTTGTAAGGCCTCCAAAAAAATATGAACTGAAAAATGGGCAATGATTAAGTTTTTTGAAAGCTAATGACTAAATATATGTATATCTCCAAGTTGAGCATTTTTAAACCATAAAAATCAAAGAGTTGCAATCAATTTAAATAAAGGGAAAGTATCAAAACCAGGGTCACCTTTTCTTAGCACATGCTCAACTTAGAAATTCCTATTTCAGCCAAGGTCTTTATTTACTGAGCTGTTCTCTCCAAATCCACCAGTCAATTCCTCCAGGGGCAAGAAAAGCCTCAAGTAGCATCCTGCACTCCTTGGCTGGTCAGTTCTTCTTATTACTTTTTCTGAAATCTATCTCAATCTTAAAAATATACTAGAACTGTTACTCTCCAAAGTCATGTAAAGCAGGTATGCATCCCCTTCTGCATAATGACCCTTTAGAAAAAGAAGATCTTAAATGTCTCTCCTAGCCAATCTATTCTTCTACTTCTTTGTAATAACAGCATTTTAAAGTCCCTCACCTTACACTTGCAGAGATGGAGATGTCGCTGAGACTCATTTTCTGTCTGATTCATGATCATGTCTTGTGCCCACTAATATACAAAAAAATCCCACTTAAATTATTCTTCATTAGTCATTACATATAATTCTATGATGAAGATTGCTATTTTAAAGTTCAGAAGGCATGATTAAAAGGTAATTGTTTACCTGTATTTGACCGTCTTCTAATACCAAAATCCCAACTTGAGGTAATGTCGACTGACTGGGCATATACATAGCCCTGAGTTTCACCATTGCTTCCCTGAATTTCTGACCCATTGTCTCCAGGCATTGAAGGAGGATGAATCTTCTCTAGGTCAACATCATGATCAATAAGAACCATCTCACACATTCCCGTGTCATCACTGGTCACATGTGACTGTCTGATATGAGCTAAAATGATGGTTGGATTGTCCAAGAAGGCCATCCTTTCTTTGGGCCAATTTCCTTAAAAGGCTATTTTCTTCTCTTCATATTGTGTCACAGGTTCACCTACCTAGAAACATGATGTACACAGCCACATTTAAGAATAAAGCAAAAAATTTCAGAATCATTTTTAAAACAAATTCAGTATTACAAAATACTACCCTGAAAATTGTTGATACTTGTATCTGTAAGCTTAGGAAGATTAAGTTTACAATGAAAGGAAACCCATAAGCACTAGGAATTTTAGCTATAGTCAATGTTATCTCCATGGAATCAGTGAAAGTTTGCTATTATAAAACAAACAAAAGGAAGTCCTCAGGCCCCTCAAACCACATAACTACTGTTAAACAAGAAATCCTCCTTTCTTTCTACCTTCACCCTCATCTAGTTCTATTATTACTTTATAGGGTCATGGCAGAACAGGTGTATTTCTACAAATTATGAGCTACAAGTATGAAAAGGTATTTCTTCAGTTTACATCTCCCTCTCCTGTCAAATGTGGCAAGTATCTAAAAATGAAGCCAATACTTAGAGTTACTAGAGATTTAACAAAAATGTATTACCAAAGTAATTTTGCTCAATAACAAGATTGTTTTCCTTTTTTATTTAAAATTCTATGCTTTTAAAATTAATTTCATTGCCAATTCTTGCATGTTACAAGATTACGTTCCTATAGAAACCTAATTATAAAAGTGTTTACCAAATATTATTAAAACTGAAATGAAGTCTGCTCTGGTACTGTCTGGTAACCCGACAATTAAATTGGGAAATACATGATGCTTGGAATGGAAATATTTGACCTCTATAAACTGAAAAGGGAGCTCTGGTGGCCTACTGGCAGGAAGTTGTACTGAAATCCCAAAGGAGCAAAGTTTGAGGCCACCAGCCACCCCACAGGAGTAGTAGGCGTAATCTCCTCCTCAGTGATTAACTGCCTCTGAAAACCAGCCAGAGGGTCAGTTACGGGTTGGTTCTGACTCTTCAGAACACAACAACAGACACAGAAAAGTGGTTAAGAACCTAGGTCTAAAGGAAGATTTGGTTTAAAATCCTAACTCCTTTCACGTCCTAGCCACATGACTTTGATAAAAGTATTTAAATTTTAAGAGTAAGAGCAAGTTTAAGCAGAATATCTAACCAAGTGAACTATATTAATTTATTTCAAACTATATTAATTTATTTCAAATATATTCATTAAGTATTTTATACTTAGGGTAAAAGATAAATCTAAAGGTAAGGAAGGCATCTTTTAATCAATGATTTTTACAGGCTGTTACTGATACATGGGGTTAAGTTTCAACTTTTTTTAGTAAATGCTGGAGTGTTCTTTGGAGGCAAGGATGATGATGTTTCACCTCACATACTTTGGGCATGTTGCTATGGGGAGGGGCTATTCCTTGGAGAGGGACATGATGCTGGGAAGGGTAGAGGGTCCGTAAAGAAGAGGAAGACCCTCAACCAGATGTATTGACATGGTGATTACCGCAGTGGGCTCTAGTGTGTGAGGAAGTGTGAAAATGGTACAGGACAGGACAAGGTTCAGATCTGTTGTTCATAAGGTCACTATGAGTCATACTCGACTTGACATACCTAACAACAAGAACAGCAAATGTTTACAAATCATATTGGGTTTTTTTTACAATCATTCACTGTCAATTTTTTTGAAATGCTTAATTTCAAATACTTTAATATCAATTCACTACGTTAAACAAATTTTTAAAATTATAAATTAAAACATTTTTAATAAAAGTTTGCAGCCTTATTTTTTGAGGAAAATTTTACAAAGTAAACTGGTGCTTTACTCAATAATTTATTCACCTTTTCCTTCTTGGCAGACCCCACAATGTAACGGCAATTCTTCCTACTTCCTTCATGTGTTTACTGTTTCTATTTGTCCTTCTTTCCTGTCCTTTCTTTCCTTCTGAGCCCTAACCCTGGGTAAACACTGCCTTTTTGATCACATGTAGATTGCTTTAAAGAGTGAGTAGCTCCCAGGTGTTGTTATTCACCTTATCTGTCTTACCTTACTTTACCTTACTTTATCATTTGGCTGAATGTCAAGTCATAGGTGAGTCCATTTTCTTTCTTTTTTTTTTTTTACAATTTTTTCAATTGTGATTTTAATGAAAGTTTCCAGAAAAGTTGGATTTTGGTTCACTTATTGTTGCCTATTTTCCTCCCTAACCCCCTCCGTTCACTTAAAAAAAAAAATCATTCATTGTTGCATAATGCACCTATTATGAACTGTTGTCATACAAATTATGTCTAATCATATATTAATGAACAATGCATTGGAACAGATGAAAGTGAGTTCATTTTCAGGTTCAAAGAGGGACTACAGACCAAACTGTCAAGGGTTCCACCAGTCTCTCTATTAGACCAATAGTAAGTCTGGTCTATTTTATTATCTTGAATTATGCTCCAGATTTTCTCCCACTCTATCCAGGATTCTCTACTGTGATCCAAAAGGTGCATTTTAAATTTTGTAAAAATAACTTTTTCTATAACCACAATATGATTTGAACAACCACAGAACTACTTATAAATAAAAATTTCATTTTGGAACAAACTCAGCACTAAAGACTGTCAGAGCTACAAGCCTCTCCCCCTCCATGAAAAGAAGACAACTAGCCACAAGCAGAGGGTCAGATGCTTTCAACATCCAATTAAATATTCTTCTCTGGGGTGAAAAACAAAATTAGTTTTGTAGGATTCAATAAGAAACTATGCAGTTAATGGGTGTTCTGGCATCAAAAAGTCAGATGGAAAAGCAATAAAACAACACTGAAGTACTGTCAACAGAGGGTTTTGTTTGTTTGTTTGTTTTTTCAGAAAAAAAAAAACCCAGATTTGCTCTATCACCTCTTATAAAGCAGAAGTGTAGGCAAACGCTTTTGAAAACAAATTATCAACTCCTTAACTTTATCCTTACAGAACAGAAGCCCAAAAACATCCCAACACTGCTGGACATATTCTTTACTAACACACTGACTTCATACATTGAGAAGTCTGAATAAAGAGTCATTCAACTAGTATTTATTCAATACCCGTTCTGATAGGGAACTCGTACAGGACTATCTCTGGGAGGCATGCTGTTGCATGTATCACTTTCTACCTCTAATTATGGATATTTGAGGATTTAGACTTGACGTTTCACAAGGACCAGTGCTGTAACTCCACATTCCTCTGGCAAAAAAGTACCTCGCAGAAATTCAATAAATGTTCCTGCTCAACTTCCAAGGACAATGTAATTTTGTTGTAGAGGTAAATCATATATGTCATATATGTGATTATAAAGAAATACTTGCCTTTTTTTATTAAGATACCTAGAAGAGTTTCCCAACAATCTGCGTTATGCAGATGACACAACCCTGCTCGCTGAAACTCAGGAGGACCTCATGCACTTACTGCAGAGGGTCAAGGACTGCAGCCTTCAATATGGACTGAGGCTCAATGTTAAGAAGACAAAAATTCTCACTACTGGACCAATCGGCAGCATCGGGATGGATGGTGAAGAGATTGAGATTGTTCACAGCTTCAGTTTGAGAGATTGAGATTGTTCACAGCTTCAGTTTGCTCGGCTCCACGGTCAACACTCTTGGCACCAGTAGCCAGGAAATCAAAAAACGTATTGCGATGGGAAAGTCTGCGGTTAGGGACCCCTCTAAAGTACCCAAGAGCAACGGTGTCTCTCTGGAGACTAAGATGCGCCTGATACAGGCCATGGTTTTTGCAATCACTTGTTATGAATCAGAGAGTTGGACAATGACTAGGGAGGATAGAAGGAGAATTGACGCTTTTGAGCTGCAGTGCTGGAGAAGAGTACTGAATGTACCATGGACTGCCAAGAAAACAAATAGATTCATCCTAGAGAGGGTTAAACCAGGCTGCTCCTTGGAGGCAAGGATTCTGGGTTTCGCCTGACATACTCTGGACATGTTGTAAGGAGAGACAGGTCTTTGGAGAGGGACATCATGCTGGGCAGAGTGGAGGGACAGCGCAGGAGGGGAAGACCCTCTATGAGGTGGACTGATTCAGTGACTGGGGTAATCGGGATGGATGTGTCAGAGGCAGTGAGACTGGCACAGAATAGAGTGGGGTTTAGGGCTGTTGTACATAGGGTCGCTATGAGTCGCAAGCGACTCGACGGCACATAACAACAACAACAGAAGAGTTTGACTTCTATATGCCCTTAAAAATTTCCATGGTAGGACAGTATCAATTTACTCCAACAATACTACTTTACAGAACCAAATAATATTCTTTAGATCACCCCAACAGAAGCAAGTTACATTTGAAGGTGGAATTGACTTCTAAGACAAAGCCATTCAGAATGCAAATGAAAACAAGATATTTTCTCAGGCCAGCTGTGCAAAGATCAAAAAGACTAAAAAACAAACAAACACCACAACTAATGTTGGCAGAGACTCCGAGAAACAGGCATTCTCACACAGAGTTAGAGAAAATGAAAATCAGGACTGTTTTGAAGGTAACCTGATAATATCTATTAAAATGTCAAGCATGAATAGCCTTGACTCTGCAACCACACTTCTGAAATTTGCCCTACGGAGATAATTACACAGAGAATATTTTTCTCAAACTTGTTTATAATCTCCAAAATCTGGACTAACCCAAGGATCCATTAGTAATACATAAGCTGTGATATATATACACAACAGAATACTATGTAGCCATTAAAAATATGTGGTATTAATTTACATAGAAAGATGTCCAAAATATACAGATTTTTTTAAAGCAGCATCTAGCACAACATATACAAGATAAATATTTATGTAAAATTACTCACGTAAACATCTTTATAAATATAAATGGACAGAACAAATCTGAAGATAATCATTGAAATGTTAAGTGTTTACCCAAGTATGAGGATTCTCCTTCCTCATATTATTCATCTTTATTGTTTTAATGCTTTTATAGTTATCATTTTTCTAGAAAAATATGAAATTTACTTAAGCACAGAAAAGATTATTTTAAAGAGAGGACAGGTGGCCTAGTGGTAAGAAGCTGCAATGCAATCCCAAAGGTGCATGGTTCTAACCCACCAGATAG